CGACAGTGTTATCCAATTCTCCTTCCAAAGACGGAGTCCGTAGACGGTTTGTAGCCCCAGCCCAGTCACTCCATATCAGCCTTGACTGACTGTACCAAGCCATGTGTTTTCAGCGGTCCACCCCCCTCCTGCGACATCGCCAAGATAAAATGGAAATGGCGAGGAGGGATTTAGATTTGACTGATTTGATCAGATCGTCATGTGGTCGGCCCGGCCCAGAACATGCCCAAACCACCGAAGGCGACGTTCTTGGACCAGTACTGGTTGACGTTGGTTGATGTTGTAGCAACGAGAGTTGATGAAGTTACATGGGAATTAGGTACGAGTGATGTCCCCCTCCCCAGAATCGCTCGGCCTTTTGTTTGAGAGTGCAGCTCTAGCCTTTACACAACCAACCAAGTGTGACCTCCTACAAGGCATTAGGAGTGGAGTAGGGAGTCCACTATCCATTGGAAGCCAGCCGGTGACCGGAGTTCGGTTCATACGCCTTTTTGAATGGAGCCAGACATGCACCAGGGAATCCAATAAGCCCTTTGTCCATACGTCTGCCTACCGGTGAGCTCCGGTGAGCTTCATACGCCAGTCGTTGGAGGTTTGGAATCAGGCAGGGTTTAGTCATCTCCCCTAGACTGTCTGTCGTCCAAAGGACAGTCAACCCGGTGAAGAGCGCTGGGCATCCGGTTTCGCCCTCTCGCTTAGGTGAAAAACACCTCCGCCACGTGAAGGCAGTGAGTAGGACTTTCTCAGGAGAGGCTATGTAAGACTCCCGGTCATATGGGAGCATTTTAAGAGGTGTACGGAAGGGTGGGCAACCCGCAGCGCAAGGCACCCACTCCCGACCATCCTGAGGCTTTGGAGGCCCACCGCTGAAAGATAATTGAAATCTAAATAAACAAAGCACCAGGTTCAATGCCAGTATTATTTTCTTGAGAAACGAAGGATGCCTACATGTGATGCGCAACATGTGACAATGTGTGTATGTATATCTTGGGGTAAGTAGAGATCGTATACGAACATGTGAAGTTAGCATAACGTGTGCCAAATCGTTTAAGGACACTTGACTGCATTCCTCCAGTCTAACCAGTAGACTGGAATAGTGAAGGAAAGCACACACACACTGTCGAATGATAACGAAAGCTGTAGGCTAAGAATTTTTAGGGATTACTTAGCGCTACAAAGTCTTCAACTAATACTTTATCAAAATCAAAGTTAATTTGAAGGACACGATACAACTGAATCTATACGATTCTAAAAATAACATCACTGAATCACCGAATTTATTGCATTCTTCGTCTTTTTCAACATAGTGTCATCAAAAACAAGGTGAAAATTCTACTTCCTACTTTTGATAATGTGAAACTCAAGTTTCTCTATCTACTTCTACTATAATAATAATAATAAGAAGAAGAAGAAGAAGAAGAAGAACATGTACACAACAGGGCAGTGTGCGTCTGGTTGTCAACAGTCGTACTCTGGATATACACCCCCTATTGTAAAGTACTTGACTTACAATCTTCAAGTTGGATAGCGTAAATGAACAGAGGACTTCAAAATGAGTATTTGTGAGTATTTGTATTGTGACAACAGTGATGCGATTTACAAACATCTTATTAAGAAGACAATTACAGTGAGGAAGAAAATTTTCTTTTCGATGAAGTCATCATCATCTAGGCTGTCAATCTTCTTAGCTATCATGGAATCCTAATTCCTAATTTTAATTAATTTGACCCTTGACCGGATATTATTCTGGAACTTTCCCATCCATTTGTGATTATAAATACACGAATGTACAGCGCTCTGTCTAGTGGACGATGACTTCGTTGAAAAAAGAAAAGCTTTTCTTCCTCACTGCAATTGTCTCCTTAAAAACATGTTATTGTCAAGTATTGGCTTTTTGTCTGTCTGTCTGTTTTCGACATAGAACTTTGCACATATGTGCACCAGTTCAAGTCGTCACACTCCCTCCATGTACCACCACACAAAGCAACAGAAGAAAGTACAAGAAAAGCATAATAGGGAGACAGACGGTAAACAGAGGTGTGAGACAAAGGAATAGTAGTAACGAAGAACAACACAGTTTAATTAGCAGTCATAAGTCACAGGGAGTAGATGCATCTGCGCCAGCCATTGAGAACGATGAGTTTGAGCCATGTCACCAATTGTTTCCAACCATTTGTTTTTACCGTCCCGAGGACCCCAACCAGTCAGGAAGTCTACACCTTCCTACGTGACTGGCTTAGACTAACTGTTGTAGATTTCATTGACTGGTGCCGCCATGTTTTTGTTTGACCGCCGCTAGCTTTTTTCCAGCCTGACCCTATATCCGCTAACATTGCCCATTAGTCGAGGAAGGCGATGACTAGTCAGGGATGCGTAACACATTTCCTAACCATCTCAGTCTTTGTAACTTCACAACTTCGTCGATTCATTTCCCCTGTTTACCTAGAACTCGACCAACGCCTAACCTCAATATTTCTCACCTTATTATACCACTTCACACACACGGGAAATAGAACACAGGCACCTATCATCAAAGACAGCTAGCTAATCTTTTCATGTCTTCCACTCTCAGTGGTCAGGTCTCACAGCCAGCCAGCCATAAAGGAGGACGGAGCGGACTGATGAGCAGTACACCCGCCCTTTGGTCGATAGTCGAACATCTTGTCTACGCCAGAGTCGGCGTAAACTGGCAAATTCGAAACGAGCCCCCTGTATTCGTGCTGAGATTTCGTCAGAGATCAACCCGTTGGGGCTTTTTGTAGGGATTTTGTGTTTGATTGTATGGAGGATTTTTTTTACCATAAGCTGACATCAGTTAGAGAAACCACTGGAAAACCAGCCACAGGGAGTACTGGACAGCCAACTGTTTCATCCTAGTTTGGGACTCTTCTTCGAATCCCGGTGGGTGTGTACTGACGAAGAGTCCCAAACTAGGACGAAACAGTTGGCTGTCCAGTGCTCCCTGTCAGTTTTCCAGTGGTTCTCTAACATTGTATTTTCTTTTGTTTTTTAATTTCGAATTGGGAAATAAACATCAATACACAATACACAAGCTTAATACCCTTCTTGTTCATAATGACCACTATCCTCCACATCAGTCACCTCTATACAAACAATATATTAGTGCACCTTAGAACCGAAGGCTCGTTATCTCTGCTAACCTCTTTAATGTATATAGATATGTATACACCTGTCTATTCAAATATTATTAACCAGCAATCTATTTTTTTTTATTACAGCTTGATTTCACACTGTATTTTTGGTAAAAGTATGGAATTTTCAGCGTGGATATCGGTAGCCCAAGTTTCCCAGGCCGACCATAATAGATATCAGGTGTGCTTCGTCGGCGTGGGCTCGAACCCCAGACCATATGCATGATCGGCGAGAGCTCTGCCCACTGTGCCGCCGACGCACATCTATATGAGTTGTAAAGTAATTTCTAATGAAACATTCTTAAGTATCATTTCATAACTTCTTCTAGGATTATATAGCTGTTACTGTTCACCACGCATACACATATCTCATAGCTTCCACTATCAAATACTGAAATATTATTCATTATTGGTGTTTATCTTCCTTTCTACTTGGTATTTTTATTTGCATTTTTTGTTATTTTTGTGGTTCTTTTTGGTTTTTGTTGTTGTTGTTTTTAATATTTATTTTTTTGTGTAATACTCCTTTTAAATGTGCGATGAAATTAGATGCAATATTGTAGATATGTGTGCTGAAAATTCCACACTGTACCACAAGTACTGTTTCTGGAATAAAAGCAAAATTATTATTATTAACTTAAAAAAGTAGTGCGTCGGTGGCACAGTGGTTAGGACTCTTGCCGACCATGCACATCGTCCGGGGTTCAAGCCCACGCCGACGAAGCACACCTGATATCTATTATGGTCGGCCTGCAAAATTTGGGCTACCGATATCCACGCTGAAAATTCCATACTTGTACCAAAAATACAGTATGTGGAATCAAGCTGTAATCAAAAATAAAATAAAAATAAAATAAGATATTCCTTCTCTAATTCTGTTGCCTTTTTTAAAAACTGTCTAAACAGGAATATTTTGCAATCTTGAAATTGCTGAAAGTTCTAAACTTAAAGAGCATTGCTTTTACAGTACAGAACTATAAGTACATGCAAAGCTAGACAATTACTAAATTGATCTTAAACCTTCAAAACTTATCGATCAATAGTTTGATATTTCAAAATCGAAGGTAAGTAATGCTCCTTGTGATATATATATATATATATATCTGCTGATATTAGATAACTGGAGGCAATTGGCAGGAAGCCCAGCCTTGGACCTAGGTCGAGCAAGGCTAGGCTTCCTGCCGATTGTCTCTAACTAGCTAATATCATCAAATCCATGGAAACCGTGACAGTGAGCTATCTAGAATGATGGCCACATTGCAAACGACAGTTGGCAGAGTCATCTTCTCATCTCAACTAAACAGTCATTGTCTGTCAAGTGCCAAATTCTCAGTCGTTTCACCCACAATTATACTCACTACTGTACCAGTGACTCAATCTTATTGGGCAGAAAATTTCACCTGTCACCAGTGATTATATAATACAGATATGCGGTAGGTCAGTGGCACAGGGGTTAAGACGCTCGCCGACGACCATGTGCACGGTCCGGGGTTCGATTCCCGGCCACAGACGCACTGCTTTACCTCCCTCGCTAAGTCAGAAATAATGCTGGTAAATGGGAAATGTTGGGCATAAGGCTGGCTAGCAACCCCATCCTGTAAAAAAAAATTAAACACTGCTACAGAAACTTCAAGCCACTATCTTGAAGGTGCCCTATGTTCCACTGGGGAACGTGAAGGGAAAATTATTAAAAGTTATATTACAACTATTATTTTAATACACCTTATGTTGCATTGCCTGTCAAACTAAATATCACTGCCTACCCGACAGTGAAACAGAAAAAACAACGTAATGCACAGATAGACGTGTGGTTAGTAACAAATGTACTACAGACAATATTTGACTTACTTCTCCATAATATAACGATAAATCCCGTTTAATGTAGCCTTTCCATCGTGTTGTGATGAAATAGCCATTGAAATCAATGCAATATATGAATAGGGCGGTTTTACAGAACTGTCTTGAACACTGAAACTTGAAAGATTTGTACTCATTGTTGACATTGTTGTGGTTGTTGGTGGTGTTTTTGCTATTGCCGAGAATTTATCCAAGTGAATTGTTTCAAATTGTCTATGAAACTGTGATGTTTCTCCTTGATTTAGTTGATAACGACATGTTATGTTGTCAGACAAAGAATTATTACTATCACTATTATTATTATTATTATTATTACTATTATAAACAGGAGATGATTTATTACCGGTTGTTGACGGGGAATTGCCCGCAATTCGATCATTGGCATATGATGGAATTAGCAGATTGTCTTTTGTATAATGATGGAAAGGAAACGGTGGAAATCGATTGTTAGAAAGGTGAAGCTGAGCAGACACTGGTTGATTTACTTCTGACGTTTTCTTTTTCATCATTTCTGTAAGATTTGTAATTGAGTTGTGGTGTTCTTTGTATAAATTGTGTAAATGATGTGTTGAATATGGCGAGAAATTGAACGTGGAATTGTGAAGTTTGCATTCCTGTTGGTGATTTTCATTGTCATCATGAGTGGTTGTTGTTGTTGTTGTTGTAGTAATACCGTTGTGATTTTGTTGAATAAGGTCAACTTCTGATGTGGGTTTATTCACCTCCGGTTCTCTGTATTCACCAGGGTTTAAATACCTGGTTAAATTCACACCTGTATGAAAAAATTGAGATCTTATCTGTGAATTATAACTGTCATGCAGATGATTATGACGAATATCATTGGCAAAATGATGCGTAGGCAATGCCTTATCAGTTAATACTGGTGGATTACTCTGGAATCGATTGATGAATTTCGTATCTACCTGACCCGTATGAAGACTCATACATTCTGATGACGGATAATTATTAGGCATAGGCATATTCATTATTGGCAGTGTATGTGGGCGCATATCGAATGGTCGAATACAAATATTGTTAGTTAAATAAGCCTCTAAATTATTCTGTGATTCATCATATGTATTCAATAATCGAGCACGATGCATTACAAAAGTCTCTGAATCTATAATTTTTGATGTGTTATTGCCGAAATTATTATTATTACTATTATTATCATTGTTATTAGTGGTGATATTGTGTACATTATCGCCTTCTGGAATCATCGAAGACCATGGTTGAAAGGGAATTGACGGATGACCAGCGTTAGCATTTGCTGAATACGTGTGTAGCATATTTTTGACTAAGCGGTAAGCTGATCTCCGTTCGTGTATTTTAAACGCTTTTGTCATGCAGGTAAATAAAGGATAGGCTTTTTCATCCAGTATAAACTATTGGACCAATCGAAATTATCAAATACACCTCTACCTGAACATAAGACTAAAAAAATTAGCCTAACTAAAATAGCGAAGGACTCTGAAATTTGATTGGTTGAAAAAAGCGTCTAAATTTATACTTTTTAGTTAATTCAACCAATCACACACCTACACATCCACACACCCACGCACACACACACACAAGAGAATCGTTGAATTTTTTCTCTTTATTTACATGTAGGGGTAATTTATTATTATTATTTATTATTGTATCCTTTAGTTCCTAGAGGAACATAGGGCTTCAGCTGCTGTGCACCTCCATTGCCTTCTGTTTTCTGACAACTTTTTCACTCCGCTCCAACTCTGTCCACATGCTTTCATCTCCTCCTCTTCACATGACCTCCTCCAAGTCACCCTACCCTCGCACTGACGACCAACTCGCCACCCACTTCCCTTTCGCCCAGGTTCCACTCGAGCAATGGCTTGTCTAGTGTTGCCAGTCACTTGATGGTTTCTTGTCTCAGAGTATGGCTAGCCAATCCATCTCCATTTCTTCCTGTCTATTTGTTTCACAATCGGTTCCTGCTGTGTTGGTTCGCTCATTCCCAGAGATCCCTCGTTATCGCTGATCTTTTCTGACCGGCCATCTGATCTTCAGTGGTACTGAGCGAAGACAGCTAACTGTTAATGAAGGTCTGAAGTTCGTTTGAGATGCTATTTATGACTCACCAAGTCTCTGATCCGTATAGTAGTAATGACTGCTTTGATATCCTCGTCAGTTCCGTCGGCCTGTAGTTGAAACGATGCTTCCCAGGTAGGTGAAGGAGGTTGTTTCTTTCAGGTTCCTCCCATTTATGCTGGCTGATTGTTGTCTGTTGTTGTTGTTGTTGCATATAGGGGTAAAGAATGTAATTATTATAATATAAGATTTGATTATAATAATGGATCGACGGTTGTCAAGTTGTTGAACAATAATTGTCGTCATTATTAATTAATTCACTGCGATGAAGAAGCATTCTTCAAGTGTAAAAAGCGTTGATTGATAGCCATATTAGTTTGTTTATTACATGTATCACAGATTCAGTGAGTGAAACAGTATTGTATACTGGATGACGAGGTTTCGAACACAATTTATTGCTGTTCATAATCATATCAATTGTGGTCACACGACTTTGAGATTTGACTTTTATACTTTTCTCTGTCTTCTCCTATTTATCGTCGTTGGGGTAGTAGAATTTTTCATATATCTGGGGCAGGTGTTGAATCGTTTCTATTACATGTATTTGCCGTTGATTCGATAAACAAAGCTTCTGTTATCAATCTCTCCCTATACCGTGTGACATTAGATTTTAAAACTGTCATTCTACTGCCCATTCGACGACAAATAGGAGACGACAAAGAAAACTATAAAATTCAAATCTCAAAGTCGTGTGATCACAATTGATATGATTATGAACAGCAATAATGAATTGTGTTCGAAACCTCGTCATCCAGTATACAATACTGTTCCACTCACTGACTTTGTGATACATCTAATAAACAAACTAATATGGAATTACTTACTACCACCACAGTGCTCAAGTTTTACACATATATTAACGTTGATTGATAGCCACATTTAGTAGAATGCTAAGATTAAAGGTAACTGAAATGCAAGCAACTTCGCCTAAAATCCATGGGATACTTACTAAAAGTGAGTGAATGAAGGGTCTAAATGACTGTAAAAAATCGTCTTATACCACTCAAAGTACTTTATTCTCATATAACAATTGTTTTCCTACAATTAGATCCTTGTTTGTTACTAGAATATGATGCCTATTTGCATTCACGATTATTGTGCATTGTTGACAAGGGAAGCAAAAACTGTACAAGGTTGTTCAAGTGTTGGTTTTTTGGGGGGATTCGATTGGTCACAGGACTTGATCATGAGGTGATATCGGTTGGAAGAGAACCATTGGAAAACCACCTGGAAGTATTGCCAGACAGTTGTTTCGTCAACCTAGTTCGGAACTCCTAAGTAGTACGTATCCATCCCTTTTGCATTTCGAACCCAAGACATTTTCCGGTTGTTAGGTGTCCTCACACCCGACAGGTTCTACCCCACTGGTCCAATAGTTTGTTCAGTACTCCCAGGTTTTCTATTGATTCTCTAACTGATGTCAGCTCGCGATGGGATCTTGTACACTGTTTGTTTGTTTGTTGAGGCATCTGGCAGGAAGCTTTGCACCTGAGTTTCGTGATTGTTGTAACTCGTCAGCGATGCGTATTTTCAATCTTAAAGGAATTCGCTGTGTCTAGTTCTTTGGTTTGGTTCACACTGAATTCTGTCAACCAAGTTGTCAGTTTGGCTACCAAGAGGGCTAGGTGTCTCGCCATCACGGTCCACTCTGAATTTTTGTCATTTTAGATGACTGAAGGCAATCGGGATAGGGCGTTGGAGCTAAGTTTCGTGTCTGTTGGCACTCACCAGTCAGTCAGCAAGGCGCATATGTGATCTGAGATTGAAACCAGAGTTACACACCTAGTGCTGTGGTCAGAGATGTTACCACTTGGTGACTCTTCGAGCTCGCAATCGACCTCGTGTAGGACTGTATTGGGAAACGTCTTATTGACAAGTTCCAAGACTTCGTGCCGATTGCTTCCAGCTATCGAATAACAACACTTCACAATGTACCGTGATGGCGCGAAACTTCTAGTTTGTGTTGGTAGTCACAGTGCAAACTTGAGTGATAGAATTCAGTGTAAACCAACCAACCAACCAAACAAACAAACAACCACACCTATTTTATGTTCGAGAAATAAGGATAAACTACCTAAATTCACCGCCTCCTCTATGTGTATCTACCAGTTTAACTGCAGCTGCGGAGTCAGCTACACTGGCGGGTGTACAATTAGGCAAGTTCATCGTCGTATTTCCGAACATCATCCAACGTGGTTAAGTAAGGGACAAAAAGATCTATTCTATTTTAGCTCTATTTTAGCCCACCTCGTTGATACTGAGCATAAGATTGACGTTAATACAGCATTTAAAATTATTTATCGCATTCCGACTTATCTTAATTTTGCTCTGCGAGTTCGTCTTCTACAGACGGCTGAAGCCAAGCCTGTATGTTCAGAAGAAATTTGTACAGCCACTTCCCCTACCGTGGCGGCCATCGTCACAAGAATGGATAAACAGGACTGCGTTGCCCCCCTCTCCCTAAACTTAATAAAAGTTATAATTGTCTAAATTATTTATTTTATTTTTATTTATTTTGACCACTTGATCTTTAATTTACGTGTTATCCTTGTAAAATTAATTTATTCTATCCATTTCTACCTTTTAATTGTCTGTATTGATTTTCTTCGTTAATTATCACCCCACTGCTTGACATGTTGACACTGACTGACTAATTATTGTTAACAAACTCATCACCACTTGATTGGTAAATTGTTGTGTATTGTAATTAAAATGCTATACATGTGTGTATATTAGAGTAGAGCCAGAGTGAGATGAGGATCAAATTGAAAAGTAAATATTTCTTCACTCGCTCAATCTTTCTGTTTTCCAAACAAAAGACATTAGTTACCACCTAGTACACTCAATCAAAGTTCAATCAAACACTCTTTCCCACGGTTCCACTTCGTTTTATCTCTTTATCTGTTTTTCAGGTATTTCACATTCGAAGACAGGGCAATAAAGTTCAAACAAGAAGCTTTCAAAACACCATAGTTCCTTTTGCTTTCTTAGAGGAATGTTGAACTTATCACACGACAGGAATTTAGTCACACACTTCCTCCTATTACTGTTTCTGCATATTCAGACGTATTGTAAATTCATCTTCGTTAGACTTTAGAAATTTAAGCTCAATTAGTTACGCTAATCACTGTTGTTTGTTGATGGGGGAATATGGTAGTCAGAAAGGCTTATTAGTTGTTCCTAATATTCTGTGTGTGTGTGTGCGTGTGTGTGTTTTAAAGTACTATAATAATAATAATAATAATAATAATAATAATAATAATAGCTTTATTCCCAAAACAGCACTAATGATACAGCAAGGAATTTTCAGCATTCACTACAATGCTGCATCTAATTTACTCAAAAACGACAAAAAAGATTATAAATACACATTACATAATAATAAAACGATTGTTACAGCAGCTACATAGCAAAATACTGTATGCAATACGGTGAAAAATATGCATAAAGTATAAAATTGTAGTAATAATAGTAATATCAACTGAAATAAAATAGCAGAGTAATAATAATTAAACGACAGAAAGTGTGATACCATAAAATACAGAAAGATGAACGAACGATAAAAGGGTCGATTTACTGTGCTAATTACATAGTAACTTATGTGTTTCACGTCTAACAGAGTCTTCGTCACATAAAGTACGGGCTAGATAGGGTATTGTAGAATTTCTATACTTAGTGGTACGAGCATATAACTTTTTATATTGACTTCTCGTCCTACCTGATGAGATACAAGGGGATAGGTGTGAATAAAGGGGAGTGCAGAGGGTCTGACAGTATAGCCTTTGCCCATTTTGTACAGGAATTTATATTCCTCTCGACTATAGTATTGGCGAGCTCATTCAGTGGCAGACCACATGCCCTACTCGCAGCATTTAATACTCTTCGTAATATGATATAATCTTTTTTGAGAAGCCCAGGAAAGATTAATGGAGAGCAATAGAGTACAATAGGTAAGATACAGGATTTTAAAAATTGCAAGACTAAAGGTTGGTTGATATCTGATTGTCTTTACTTTTTAATGTATAAGGTAAGACGAAACATTTTCTTAGAGATAGATAAGATGTGGGATGACCATGAAAGGTCAGAGGAAAGAACTAATCCAAGGTATTTAATGCTTGACTTAGTTTCAATTTCTGTGCCATCGATGCTACAGGCATCATGCAAACTAACTAGTTCATGTTGGTCACGTCGATGCTTGAAAGTAAAGTCAACTGCCTGACATT